ACGAAACGACTGAATCGGTGGGATCCTCGGATTCTGGTTCGGCGGTAAGTATGGTGGGAAGAGTGTAGTCAATCCCAGCGCGGCTGCTGCGGAGGAATGGATCTCGCTCTTCGATGGAGATGGTCCAACTAGCTGCCACCGGCCAATAGCTTGGAGGGAAAATCATTTAGTTCAATAACTTCCATGACAAGGACCTTCTAACCAATTGGTTGCCTGGGTATATCTGCCCTCCCTGATCTGTTAAATCAAGATTTCCATCAGCACTGTATCGTTGTAGCGTTTGGAAGGTCATACAGATATTGACGACGAGTCCATTATGGTCTCCTGCAGCATTGTTGAACTCTCCCCCGGATATCGTTGTCGATTAAGACTGACATAAAAGAGATGGGGAGCTGGCCGCGCTGTTAGAGCTTGGGGGATGGTTTAGTCAAGCATTAAGTTTTGCTCACCTCGAGGGCCCGCTAACATTTGCCATAACTCCAATGATCAACAATACCCACTGAGTCTGACTGAGATTTCAACTCGGTGTTGATAGGCAGATGGAAAGTTGAAGCACAGGATACATAGGTGCTGAACAGCATTCATGATGGTGCATGACGGAGATTAAGATGCATACTATGACCATGACCATGTAATTACGAGTTGAAGTTGCCGTCAACACTCCTCAAATTCAAAGGACTTCCTTTTGTTCAATGCCTTTTTAATGCTTGTCTACTAAGTATACAGCGCAGACACATATATACCATCGCACTCGACAAGATCCATGAACAGGAACTCTTGTATTCGCCACAAGCTGTCCAAGCTCAGGCGTTGGTCAGTGTCAATCAGGGCGACTGCATCTTGGCATGTATAGATAACAAAAATTGACCCCACCATCACAGTCGAACATGTGTGATCCCGGACCTGTCTACGTTCAGCGCCTCCAACCGAGTCCAATCCTCCGTATGACATGCGTCAGCGAAAACCCCTATTGCCGCCGTCCTGAGTTGCACGATGGGGCAACCTTCGGTCCTGGATAACCATCTCGACTCTACCATATCTGCGACCTTTCCATCCTGGGCAGAAATGCATCCCCACATCCTGATGGTCGTGAGATTTGGACAGATAGTCTCCAATGGGGTGTCCTCGGCCAGCTGGTCATCCCCATGACACAGAACGTTTTTTGACGAGATAACTGATGGGGTATACGTCAACCGCCTAAGAACCTCATCCGTCATGCACAGATGCTTTTGGTGATATTCCGTGATAGACAACGAATCCAATGACTTCGATATCTGCAGATGTACGAGGCACTCCGCTATCTCTTCTGCTGAAATATCCCACTCCTGAATGATGAATTGCTTGATGGTGCAACCTGAACGTAGGAGGAATGGAAGGAACTGGGATTGTGGCCACCGGCCAAGCTGTACAGGGGGGTTGGGTGAGGCTCCATGTAATTCGGAGAGCGATAGATCCTTCAGAGCTGGTAGAGTGACTTTGTCGAAAAGGACTGCCAGGTTACCTGCAGTACGTAGATGTAGGCGTTCTAAAGTGTTGTGGACAAATGGATCGTCGTCGTCGTCGATGGGAAACATGGGAAGAAAGAGCGTCAGCTCCAGGGATTTGAGATGAGGACAGATCGCTAGGACACGAAGACCCTCGTTCATAGTGGCAATGGGGCCCTGCAAGAAGTGTGTGAGCTGCTTCCATGGAAATGCAAGCATTTTGTATGATTTCTCGCTTAGCCAGGTAACGGAATGGAGCCGTGGTGCGGAGACCATCATGGATTTGATGCAGTCTAGATCTTCTTGTGCCC